CGATACCAATTTATATAATGACAACAAAAAGCACATTTACTCATGTAAGTAAACTGCAGTCCAATAAAATATGCACCTATTTTTGGGAGATATCAGCCTCTGAAGATTGTGTTCGTGGCCCATTTCCTTGAGGAAGAGTCTTTCTTTTTTTTCCAGCAAGATTTGTTTTTTTAGGCAAACAAAGCTCAGTCACCTTTAGATGTGCTGACGTGGCTTCATCAAGTGTGGAGGCTGATAAATTAGAAGAAGGATAAATCAAATTAAACCTGTCTGCACAAGAAGTGAGAAAATGTGTTTTTTGGGTAATCTGGAAGGCTAGACCCTTTAACCAAACTATTTCCTGTCTGGGTTTTTGAAGCAAAATATATTGTTGCTGCTGCTTGAAAACATGTCTGTCTTCTCAAAGCACAGGTGTAGATATTGAAGGATGTCAGGCAGACACCAGATTTTGATTACCAGATGTCTCAGCATGGTTAATTTACCAATATTCAATCAAAACTGTAATGAGATATATGCTCTGTATGCATCAGCACACCAGGAATGAAATGCAGCGCTCATTACAACTACTTTTCAATTGGAATGGATCTGTTACATTACACCATATCACCTTAGCTCGTGTGCATATATTAAACCGCATCCAATTGGCTGAGCACTGAGGTGGAATATTATGCAAATGCCTAATAACAAGTGTACATGATTGAATTCACTCTGTCAACAGCCAGAGCCCTGCACACATACAGCCCGGATATTCCGTGTATCTGTGTGGACACGCACACTGATGCGCACAATCATGCTCCATTTGCTAACCATGTCTGTCAGTGTGCAGACATCAAGTATTAAAAATGTCAAATTACTAAAAGCTCACAGCAATGGGGCAGAGCTGCTCTGCTTTTCACACAGACTTGAAAAAAGGCAAATAATTAATTTGTTCCGATCTTCAACCTCAGGGTGTCTCTCAAGAGTTAAATTGTTATTTTTGGTGTGGAAGCATTAGCAGACGGGGGGCAATGCTTGTCTATGAAGCCTGGGGCAATTTTGTCTCATTGGCTTCTCATTGGGATGGAGTAGCCATTAACAGAACAATTACATGCACTTGTAAGCTTGCAGAAAGCAGAAACTAATTAGGGCTATTTTGGAACGTCTTCACTTGATACGAAAAAAATAGAACATAAATTGTTTTCCAGGTTACAAAGCATTTAAACACACCCTTGAGAAAAGCCTTCTCCACTGGAAAAGTTGTGCGTGAGAGAAAAAGCTCTGAATTATTATGCATCTGACCTTGACAGTGTTGGTATTCAGTCCCTCTTTATATTTAATATTTAAAATTCAAGTTTTGTAGAGTGCTAATGCTTTAATGTCCTGCAAGACATGCAAAAGGAAATTTTCACAATTGAGCAAGTGTGAAACTTCAAAGGGTTCAGATTACCGGTAATTGGTGTCATGGAAAAGCTTATGGGTGTTTGTTAATGAAGTCGATTTGAGAGCTTGCAAAGACAGGATCCATTTATTTAATCGCGCACTCCTAAGATAAATTGTCACTTCCATTGTAATTTGTTTTCAAACTCGCCTTTATCACCTGCAGGGGAAAAAAGGGAAACTCTTAAAACACACCTATCAACAGTAAGCCCTCCTTACTTTGTTTCCCCTCGTGCAAAAACCAGCACCAATTAGTAAGACGTGGCACAGGCAGCGCTATGTAAAATCTGCCTGTTTACATAACCTGCCGTGCTATCTATTTTTAACAATATGGATGCAATCATAAAGTGCTTCTCTTCCTACGGCACTGTGGAGGAACGCGAGGCTTGTTCTCCATCCGTATCACAGATGCCGCAGAGCACCAGGCTTCAAAACCCAGCAGAGTGACGGTCTGTCACTCACCCCGTCAAGTCTGCAACTCTCACTCTGCCTCTCTCCCAGTCTTCTTCTTTTAATTCTTCTCACATACATTTGCTCCCTCTCAGTCTTTTTCTTTTTTATTTTGGTCCTCTTCTTTTTCTTTTACACTTGCTCCCCTGTGTCTTGGATCCTTGGGTCCCCACAAATTCACCTCCCCCCCTGCAACCAAGGTTGAATTTCATTCCTTCATCTTTCTCTTCAGTTATTTTTTTTTTCCTGGCTATCAACATCCGTCTCTCGCTCCTTCTCTCCTTTGCCTCGACACATGCAGCCATCTGTCTTTTTACCTTTTGGCAGACTTGGGGTACTGCTATATTAAGCCACCGCTGAGCCAAGTCCATGTTGAGTTGACACAAAAATATAATGTGACAACGTTGGAGAGGAACACTGATGGAGAGCTGTGTAATTAGTGTAAAACTCTGTTAACATGGGGCAACCCCCCCCCTCCCAATAAAGACTTTTTTTGAACTACATATTTATTTAGTTGCACACACTGTTTCGTTTTTAAATGTTTGTGAAGTGGTGCAAATTCAGTAGGTAAAGTTGGCGAGCACTTCCTGTCCGCCACCTAGCTGCTCGCCAGGCTGTTGGTATGATTCACCGGGTATTAATTTCACTGTGACCGGTGGCACCATATGTCCCACATACCCACTGATTGAGTTATTCAGCCTGCTCATGAAACATGTTGTGACAGGCCATTCATAGGTTCTGGGTTTGTTTACCTCAGCTGTGTGTTTTACCTCCTGCTGTGGCACTTGACTCATAGCCCTCAACCAGGAGGAACATCGCTATAAGCCTGTAAGCACAGACACTGAGGAGGGTGTCGTGGTCCAGAGGGAGCAGATGACTCACAGCCACCGGGAAGCCACGGGGGTGACGGGAGACAAAGTGCACACCGAGATGAGAGCAGAGTTTTACCACTCATTACAAAAGCTGCACGCCGCCAGGGAACACATCAGTTAGATCCAAAATCTTGGAATCATACTGATGCTGCAAAGCTGATTGAAAGAAATGCCCAAGATTAAAAGAAGTGGTATTAATGGGCTCACTGCAGCATCACTCCTGATTGCCTCGCCCACTGGGATTGCAATTATGATTTATGACTTTTTAATGCGGTCATAAGTTGAAGCAGTCATAAGAATAAATGGCTAAAAACTGAGAATTTTTAATTGGAAGCTCTATTAAAAGCATTATTTCCAAAAAGATTAGTGCACCACAGAATCCTTCAGCTGGGCAAACGATGGTAAATCACCCCTCACAATGAATGCAGTGATACATTATGAAGGGATGGTACGCTTTTACAAGCACACCTGCTCAGTTCACATAAAAGAAGTGAAACTTTTTCGCTTCTTTTAACTTCATGACCTAAATAATTGAGTCTTTCTCCAAACACAAATTGCTAGAAACTGTGTACATACAGCTCCATTGTGAAGAGAGATAAATCTTGTTTGATTATTATTTCAGCATATCAGTCCACTGTTGTAATGAGATTCTGTCAAATTAAAGTTGTAATGATGACAGGAGGCAAATTGCTCGTCTTTCCTTGTCATGTGTAGTGTAGTTACCGTGGTCTCTTTTGAGGCTTAAGAAAATGAATTTAGATTCCACTCATTTGTGCTTTTGTCTCTTGTGCATTTGTGCAGAGATTTAACTGAAACTTAGCGAGTCTCTGATCAGATTTTCTCTGTGTAATATCTTACAATATTTCCCTCTAATTCCATAAACACAGTCAGAAAGGCCCTTTTTGACTCTCCTAACACATACTTATTGCCTTTAATAATGTTATGTAGGCGGTTTTCTTCCTGCTCTTCACCATACTAAAAAGTAAAAGTCCTTTAGTGTCAAAACCGATATCCTCTAAGACTGGCAGAGAACTCGGGTTCTCTTCGTGACTCCCTGGCAGACTAAGATGATATCCTAAAACTGCACATGCTTGTTAACTTTCCTAGCAATCAAGAGACGTTACTGTCTATACAAATCACAATATGTTATATACCATTGTCACAATGCCAGATTGCTTCACTGATCCCTGATTGCTTTTCTGTTTATTATTCATTTTTCTGAGAGGAATTTTAATTTCTCTAAGTTTTAAAAGTAAAGTAAATATTAAAACTATTTATAATGCAGACCTAATAACTGAACTGGCTGCCTTAATACTCATCCACAAATCGCTCTTTAAACGCCTTATAAACTATCATCAAGGCTGATTTAGATATAATTGTTTTCCATTTTAATTCCTCCACTAAGCTTTCATGTGCTGCTGAATTTAGCTTGTGGGGAGCACCTGCATTCTTCTCTGTTTTCAGTTCAGCTCAGCTGTCCCCCTCTGCAGACTAATCAGTTTCGCAGAACTGTCATTAAGGGCAGAGAGAAGGGTCTGTCACCACAGATGGCAACAGCCTCTTGCAAATGAGCTCTGATTACAAGAGGTGGCAGGTTTCTCTCTCCTTATCATCCCTGCCTTTCACGCCATTAGGCAATCACGGTGCTTGGGTCACAGCTCCTAAGGACAGTTACATGGTAGATTTACCTTAGCTAATGTCCTTGTGTTCTTGGTGTGCTGTTTCGCAAACTGTCCCCTCAGTTTCATTTTGAAAGAATTTGACAACCTCATTTGAGTCTGTGTTGGCAAAGGTGCCAGACTCGGTGAGCTATTGAATAGACCTGTTATTTTTGGCTCGTTCATCGTACCAGGTGCTCTCGCTCCTGATCCTCACATTGGAAGGCGAAGTCTGTGAAAATGACATCAGGTTCCTGCTGCTGTGCTCCCATCAATATTTAAAGCTCTAACTCATTTCAGAGTTGATTCCTCACTGACTGGGGAGCTCTTGGCCTCTGCCTGTCTGAGGTGAAAGCACAAGTCCAAGAAAGAAAGGCTGTATTCATCTATTAACAGTGGAAGGAAAGGAAGCCAAGAGCTTAGTTCAAACACCCCTCCCATGCTGTTTCCCCACATAGTGAAGCTCCTGTAAACACAACCTGTCTGTCCCAGCTGTTGCTTGACCTATATTAGCTCTTGAAAAATTTTTTTTATTTTTTTAAACCTTCTGGCTCAGTCAGAAAAACTAACTGGAGTACCTTTTTCTCTTTTCATCTGTTTTAAGGTGTGAGGCGACCTCCAGAGCAAGACAAACCCAGTCCTAGTGTCCATTATACTCTTCTGATTGCTTGTGTTTTGGTGGCCTTTGTCCTTGGTGCCTTCCTCTCTGGCTTCCTGGTTTCATGCTACTGTAATCACACAAGCCACAAGACCAAGAAGTTGTCGAAAGACCCCGAAGCCCCAATCCCACATGCTCTATCACTGCGCAGCCTGGCCAAGCTCAATGGCCTCCTGGACAGCCAAAGTAAGGACGACAAGCTGGAGGTGTCATCTCCCAAGATCTACAACTCTTTCTTCGCCAACAGTAAGGAGCATCACCCATCGAGGAGAAACGGTCATCATGGAATGACAATGGGAGACTTGGTCCATGCCCAGCATCACCAACTCCACCATTCCTCAGAGCTGTCTGGTCTGCCTACACCAGACTCGACCCCAGAGCTGCCAATTAAGAGCATGAAAGCATTCAAGAACCAGTGGGAGAAGAATCAGAACTGCAACAATGCCAAGGAACCAAAGTCCCATAATATTGGCTCCAGGCCCAGCTCTGCCCTGCTTCACCAGCAGGTCTTCCCCTACTCCCATGGACTGTCTAATAGCCACTCAGCAGCCGGACACCTTCATCCCGATGAACGCAAAATCCACAATGTTGAGCGTGTGTTGTCTCAGCAGCCTTACGCTGGCTACTCTCAGAAGGTGATGGAAGTAACCTCACTCGATGAGCTTCTGAAGCACATCCACGAGGCTAGCGGCAGCAAGAACTCTCAGCTAATGAGCCCATCTGGTCTGATGGCCAGCGGAGGTGGAGGCCAGCTAGCCTTTGCCAACCGTATCCAACCTCAGATACCTGAGACAGAATCAGCCCCCTACTACAGCTCATCCACTTTACCACGTGACAGCCTCACCCGTCGCATGGATGTTCCCCCAGACATTCCCATGCACCACCAGTCTACCTTGGAGAGGAGGCATTCCTCCCAAAGGCAATCACTGATTGCTGCAGCCACCAAAATGCCCAACGGAGGTGGAGTAGTAGGAGGAGGGGGAGGAGGAATGATCCCTCGCCAACACAGCTTCAGCCAACGAAATGGCGGGCCCCACCAGCCACCTCCCCTTTTGGCGCGGATGAACTCGACGGGCAGCGCGTGTGAGGTTCACTATCCCCTGCTTCCCAATGGATACCTGGCACGTCAGCACAGTTATAATGGAGAACAGCAAGAGGTTCCACACAGGGGTGCGATCGTCCGTCGGGCAGCTTCTCTCAAACCTGACGTCCCTCCCAAGCCCTTGTTCATACCTGCCACATCCCCAGTCAATGAACAGGGAAAGTTCAACTACTGAGGGGTATGCTCTTGGACTAAGAGAAGGAGCCTCCCCCCCTCCCCTCATTGTGTCATCTGTAAGAAACTTTGAAGAAATGCAGTGAGTTTGGGGTTGCAGACCTTTACCTGAAAACGCAACCAACTGTGTGGCACCAGTGTCACTGTGGACAAAAGCCTCAACCAAACTTGTTTTTTGCCGCTTCTTTTTGTCCAACGAATATCTTTGTACCATATTGGTATTGCTTAGCTACTTGCTTATTATAGAACCGCTTACTTGGGTGACGTGATGCCACCTCCTTATATTAGGCTGCCAATGTCCTCAATGTGGATTTACAATGCAACTCCGTTTTTGGACACGTTGATGTTGGAAAAACTTGACACATCAGTCATCTTGAAGACTTAAAAGCTCGAGGCTCGCTTAGATTCATGCTTTTGCTTAACCTTTTCTGATGTAGTGTTGGTATCCGGTCCCCACCCACCCCACCCTCGAATGTGTTTATATTATGCATGTGTGTGTATATATATGTGTGTTTATATTTACACCGTATATGTATACATATACATATGCAGTATGTGTAACCTGTGGTTAAAAAAAAAAAAAAAATCCCCTGAAAGTAGTTATGTCTTTGCCTTACTATACTCTCTCATCTTTGGGCATATCAAACGATCCCCCCGCCCAAGCCCTAAGAAATATCTTAGGGGCATCAAATGTTCATCAAATGTTGTCATTTGGCTCCAGACACCAATTCAAATTTGGTCACAATGACAAGACAAAGGAAATACTTCAACAAAGCAGCTACACTCGCCTTCTCTTTTATTTTTTCCTGTCCCAGCTGATGTCAGGTGACAACATTCGGGTCCATTTAAGTTCTTCAAGAATGTTTCGACAACATTGGTGCTCCGCAACTCTAGTGGGTCTAATATTCTTTGAAATGGAAACAACCAACATGTTTCTCTGAAATTTCTTGGACCCAAAGAGGACAAGACAAACACGTCTTGCCGTCTGGTGTTAGGAGAATGAACACTGAACATCGAACAGACTGCAGTTATCATAATTATTAACTCTGTGGCTATTGGTTGTAAATAAAGGAATAATTACTAGCCAAATTTTAACTGTATGTGTAAATGTGTGCCTTATTTAATAATAGTGTGTGACATGGGCTTAGGGGTCAATGCAAGGGGCTCAGATGGCAACTATGCTACAGTATATTGTAGGTGTTTGATTTTTCTATGGTTGTCAGTATGTGTCATACAGTATCTATTGTATATGTGAAGAGTTTCATTCCAGAATAAGATATTTCTCATCGATTCTAATTAACTGAATTAATAGTTTGACTGTAACACCCACTAATAAATCATATTTCATATTGACTATAATTTTTTTTACAAAGTAGGCTAATATTTTGTAAATTATCGAAATTTTTTTTAATCGACGTAAAATAACTAGTACCCTTTTTTTCAGCATTGTTTTGGAATGAAACCCTTCGTCTTTCGCTTTTCTTTTGTTTTCATCCCAAAAGTGTGAGCCTACAGGTTTTTAATGCGAGTGTGGGACACAGCAAGTACAAAGCCTGAGACTGCAGACATTCAGGTTTGACTGTATACTGTCACTTTCACCTGGGTGTCGATTTCCTTGTAGGTGCCATTGTTACGTTTTTGTTTTTTGTAGTATTATCTTCTTGGGTTTCTAAAGGAGCAGTTCACAGTTCCTCTTAAAGTTATCACCTACAGATGTGTAGCCATTGTAGAACTTGCATTTACCTTATGGGAGGAAAAAGTGTGTCTTGCTTGAGTTTTGAATGTCAGGATATATGTTTTAGCAAGTGTGTGAAACCATACGGTTTCAGTTCTGTATGAAAATAAATCCAGGTTGGTGGCATGTAGCATGACTTCTACAATGGTTACTGCTGTAGATGTTGACCTAGTGGTGCCACCGGGTGTTGAATTTCAAAACATGGACAAGAAATATGGAGCAGTGCAATGAACTCTGATCCGACAGGCTGAGATTGTCTCTTGGATCGATACTTGGGAAGTGATTGTGGAACCGGTTCGCAGGTGACCGTGCTGCCAAACACTGCTGAGGATTTTCACCTCATTAAATGGTGATGCCAGCCGGCTGTGCCTCAGACATATCACCCCTTCAAAACTCAACTGTTGTACTTTTCAGGAGAGTCGCTTTGACCACGGGTGGCTGGAACCGTGATCAATTCTGTGAAAACAGCACTATGCTATTTACTGTATCTGAAAATGGTGTTTATTGATTGAAATTTCCCAGAGCTCATTTGACCCAGTGTAAAGTTTACCATTCACACTACTCCAGCTTCAGTAAATTAAGGAAAAGTACCTAACATTTGTAAGGAAAAAAAGTTGATTTGGTAATTAACAGGCAGCAGAGCATTAAATAGCCTTTCAGACGGAAAATAAAAAACATCCAACTTGATTTAGGGTTGGGGCGGCAGTGTTTCATAAGAGGAATTGTGGCAGCTACAGTGTTTCAATGGATTTATTTTTCTGTTTTGGTCTATTTTTTTTGTTTGTTTTTTTTTTTGGTAATTTGTTTGTTTGTTTTTAATCTGCCGGTTAACAGATTGTACGGAAATGGGGACGGTCTCGCCTCTTAAAAGTTCTATCAGTATTTGATTTGGTGTAAATACATTCTATCTGGGCGAGGTCTCATTGATTCAGTATTATGTTTTTCTCCGTTTGATTTCCAGGCTTTGCCTCTTGACTTACTATGAATTTGGTCTCACAGAATATCATTGTATGTCTCTTATACTAGGAATAAAATGGAAAATATGATGAACGTTTCACTGGTCAATGTGTCAAAATAATCCCGGTAACATCGTTGATGGTCATACACAAAGTCTGAAAACAAGAATAGCAATTGCAGTAGCAGATAAACCAGTAGCTCATCTCTGAGGCAGAAATGTTTAGGTGAGATGGTAATTCAAACTATACTTTCAGACTGTATATTATAATAGATACACTGCTCAAAAATTAAAGAAACACTTTTCTAATCAGAATATTGTATCAAGCAGTTTGACCTTGTGACAAGGGAGTAGGTCGAGGAGTTGTTAATCAGTCTCAGCTGCTTTACTGTTAATGAAATTAACAACTTGTGCAAAATAAAAGTGTGGTCTTAGAGGTGGATGCGACTTACATTTTTGTCCTGTTTATTTTTTCACTAGTTTTGCATTTGTCAGTGTTTGTAGCATGAGGCGATCCCGGACCCTACAGAGGTTTGATAGGTAGTCCATTTTCTCCCAATGCAATCTCAAGAGAATGGAGGAGATTCCCAGAGACTGGCAGTTACTCTAGGAGAGCTGGACAGGGCCATAGAAAGTCTTTAACCTATCAGCAGGACTGCTGTTTGCTTCTTTGTGCAAAGAGAAACAGGATGAGCACTGCCCGAGCTGCAAAATGACCTCCAACAGGTCACTGGTGTGAATGTCTCTGACCAAACAATTAGAAACAGACTTTATGAGAGTGACCTGACTGTCCAGTGTCTTCTAGTGGGCCCCGTGCTTCCTGCCCGGCGCCATGATGGCCAATTGGTTTACCGGTATTGGTGAAAAGCCCTGGTCCCTGTGCTTTTCACAGATAAGAGCGGGTTCACCCTGAGCACATCTGAGATATGTGAAAGGGTCTGGAAAAGCTGTGGAGAGTGTTATGCTGCCTTAAACATCGCCCAGCATTACCAATTTGGTCTGGGGAGGCATATCTACGAAGAGATTTACGAGCTCTCTATGATAAGCAACTGTGCCCCGGTTGCTATTAGATATTGGGATGAAATCCTTAGACCCATCATCAGACCCTACGCTGGTGCAGGCGTTCTTGGGTTCCACCTAGTGCATAACAATGCTGGTCCCTATAGAACTTGGGTGCTTTACAAAGTCCCATTTTGAGTAATTTTGGCAAAATAACCAAGCATAAATCATTTTTTTCGCTTGGGTTTTCTGGCAGTCTTTGAATTCAGCCCTATGTAAGTTGATGATTTTAATTTGCATCAAACAGTGTGGCATCCTTTTTCCCCCCTAACACATTACCCAGTCCATATCAGTACAAACACCCAGCAAAATTCTTATTCCCATTGAACTCGGAAATGTTGTCAAAGTATTCCTATAATTTTCTGAGCAGTGTGTAGTAGTATGCATCTTGGATCTGTTTGCTCTCTCTACTAAGTGCATATTCTGTCCCATGTCTTGTGATGTCTGAGAGATATAGATGTAATATTTGGATGTCAGTCAAGAAGCAAGTGATTTGTTTTTTGTGTGTGGATGAACGATGTTTGTTTTTTTTCTAAAGGAATTTTTTCAGTGGTTCTGGGAAATAAAATGTTTTTCTGTGTCTCTGGGATTTAGAGTACAAGATATACTAAGCATCAATTTAATTTGTGCTTTTAGTACAGAGAAATCCAACATGTGATTTCAACTGCCATCTCCAGTAAGAACCAATATACTAATTGTTTCAATACACAGGGGGCAGTGATGAGCCCATTAGAGTCTGGCACAGCAACCCGAGTGAGATGAAACGCACTCCAAAAGTACTTGGAAAAGCAACAAAAGTAGAGGATTTTTTTTCTTTTTTCTTTATGAAATGTCTTCAAACAAATTAATTCCCCAGTGAAAGCTTTAAATAATAACAACAAAACAGATTTTAGTGAGTTCTTGTGATAAATAACAGCACAAAGCACCACAGGAAACAGCCATGATCCATGTCCAAACAGCGAGCCAATTCCATCCGTGCTCCCAGGAAGAGGGAAAACAAACATACTTCCTTTTTTTTTTTTTTTTACAGCTGCAGGGATATAATCTCAAATTTTAGGTGAGCTAAATCAATATAAATGACATGCACTGTGCCCCCTCCTTCAATTCTAGGGTTTAACCTATCAGGACATTACAGGTTCCAAAATGATTTAAAAACAACCTCAGCTGAATAAAGGTGACATACATATGACAACATTTTATCATTAATTTAACAAATAGTGAGCCAACATGCAGAAGCAGTGCATGAAAAACTAAGTACACCCAATGATTGAATTTCAGCAACAAGAACTTGAAGTAGTCATTTTATCTCTGACTTCATCAGTTTTTCACATTGAAAGACACAGTTTTGTTCATGTCCTGTTACATAACCAACTCTCAGACAGATGACCTCACACTCACTCTAGAATAGTTTGGTATACAGAGGAGTTCATGCCTCAATGACTGCAAGGTGTCCAGATACTGTGGCTGCAAAATGAACCCAAATCATCCCCTTTCCACCACCGTGCTTCACAGTTGGTATGAGGTGTTTGTGTCGGTGTGCTGCATGGTTTTCACCGAACATGGTGACATTTAACATATTAGCTGAGACCTGTACAGCCTGAGAAGCAGCTCTTTGATTTTTTTGCAATTTCTCTAATCACTGCACTGTCGGACTTTGGGGTGGGGATGTTCTGGTGCATTCTTTCGTTGGAAGACTGGTGTGTGTTTTAAATG